GGGGGGGGGGTCTTTTTTAGGGGCTTACAGAAAGCAGTTACCCAGCCGCAGCACTTGTGGTCGTGACCGAAAAACTAGCGCTGAACTTCGCCCAGTACCGTACTCAAGAGCGCTTATTGGTCTCCGAAAAACTACGGTATTGGGCCAGAGTTTAGAGTCGTATCTCTTGGCCATAAATATATCATCTAATATGAAGAAATGCGTAGGCAATGACGCTATCAAAATTTCCCTGACTGGGGGCCTAGAAAATTTCTCGTTGAGATGAGGCGGGGAGGGCGGAGGTGGAGTAATAAGGACTGAAAAATTCAATGAATGAGATATGGTATCCCGAGCTCCGCAAATTTGCAAAGTTTTTGCGCTTCTGGACTCCGTAAAGTTCTTTCAAAGTCGAATTCAAAATTTTCAGTCATTCTTTTGATTGGTTTTCCTTTTAGCTAAATTATGCTTTGCCCTACTAGATCCTCAACTTCGATTTGTTACAACTTCATTCTAGGTGGCTGCTCTTTGCGTATTGCCGAATGAAATTGTTGTACCTCTTGCGCCCAACGTTGACGTCACAAAACTCTTCTTCCCAGAACCAGATGTGTGCACAGTAAATCGTAAACTAAGCCTCAGTAAAAGTAATTTGGTTCTTTTAGGGTGTTATTCGCCTAAAAATCGTCGAAGCGAAGAATTTGGAAAATCGAGACATTTCATTCATTCGCAAAGGCAAGAGTGACCCATACTGTGAGATTCAAGGTAATCTTACAAAATTAGTTTTCTCTGCTGAAGTTAAGCGTACCAGTGTGTATGTTTCAGTTGGCTCCCAATTCCTGAAAACTAAGACCATCGACAATGATCTCAACCCTGTATGGAATGAATATTTCGAAGCTGTTGTAGATCAGGTTCGTTTATTGGAAAAACCTTTAACACTGTTTCTTTTTTTATTCGTTCTTTCATATTGATTTTTCAATTCGGGTTTTTTACATGAAAAAAGTCAATAAATTTAGTTTTTGCGGGATGCGGTATTTTGTTGTGTTGAAGCTAATCTAAGTAGTATCTGTGGCTTTTTCCTTTTCGTTTAGGATAACTTTTCGGTGATGATTACAAAAATATTATGTGTTTTTGTTGTAATGGGTCGAACATGCAGTAAACATAAAAATGTGAAGTCGTCAAAAATCGTGAAAGTATTCTAAAAAATTCGTGTTTTCATAAATAAAGATCCGATCCTATTACTGAATTTTATCACTACCTCAAGATCAATCTTATTTTTAGGCACACGGCCAGAAATTGCGCATTGAAGTGTTTGACGAAGATCAAGGACAAGATGAAGAGCTTGGCAGATTGAGTATCGAACTGAAAGATATTCAGACCAAAGGAAGCATCGATACTGTAAGTGTAACAAATTTTGTGGATTTCACAGTTATTAGGTACTGTATGAATTTGATATCGGATTCAAATTTTCTCTATTTACGGAACAATTTTTGAAGCTTAGTCTTTTTTTGGTCAAATCAAAAATTGTTCATAGCCCAGAAAACAGTTATCTCTCATTCAAATTTTTTTTGTTTATGCGATACTGAAACTACTCATTTTAAATTGCTTTTTGGCTCAAAAATCGTTGAACTTAAGCATCTATTTTGTCCTTGAAAATGAAATAATTTTTCTTGACTTTAGTGGCTTCCACTAGAGGCTTGCAAGCATGGTGATCTCCATCTAAAAGCTACTTGGATGAATCTGTCAAAGGAAAAACGTCATCTCGAAAAGCAAGAGTGGGAAAGCGAATGGTTGCAAGCTGACAAACCCATTCATCCAGCGCTTCTGATGGTGTATGTGGATTCGGTTTCTGATTTGCCGGTGGGTTCGATTATAAATAATGTTTCAATTAACATATTTAGAAAGTTATGTGAACAAAGACATTCTGGAAAAATTTCAACCAAGTTGCTGAAGGCTGTGGCAAAAATGTGTTTAAGGAAAAAATTGGACTCTTAGGGGAGCATTGTGCGATCTTGTAGGGGGGATTGACACTCTTTCTGGTAGCTTATGCTGACTGTAGTAAAAATTTTAAAAACTTTTATCATACTTGGGTGAACTTTGGGAAAAAAATTCTAAAAATTGTACACACTTTTCCTTTAATAAAGAATATCCCAAAGCTTGTCACATAACAAAGCATTACAGTACCCAAAAGCAAAACTGGAACCATCGCCATTCATTGAGGTAACACTCGGAAAGAATAGTCAACGCACACCTGTCAAGGTAAGCTTATACTTTTTCTGATCTTTCTTTTTCGCATAATTTTCATTTACCTTGATCGCTTACATTTTCTTGATTTTGAGGTTTGTTGAAAGAAATGTGTATGTTTTAGGTAAAAACCGTAAATCCCCTTTACCAGTCCAAGTTCCTCTTCTTTGTTAGACATCCGGAAGGACAAGAGCTGAAGTTTGAGGTGCTACCTACCCTTAAAAAATTTGTCCAAAACTATTGATTTTCCTTTATCCAGGCCATTGATGATGGTACACGCAAAACGCTTGGATCTCTGACTATTCCACTGACCCAACTAATCAAGGAACCCCAGCTGG